CTCCTCCTCAGAGAGCTAGTGATAACTTCCTATAACCAGTGCGGAAAACACCTACAAAACATACCTTGCTGCTCTGTACCTCTGGGAACTGGTGTAATTGAAAACTACACACAGCTTGGGTGTCACGAAACAAACTGCCCAGAGCGCTCACTGCACTGTCACCGTCTGCAGAGTTCAATGCCAGTGCGTTACAGGAGAAGAAAATGTTTAGCCATGGAGGAGATATTGCACAGACTGTGACTGTAAGTGCTTTTTGGTTGGAGAACATTTGGAAAGCCCCATGCATCTGCCTTCCCCTTGGTGGCCCATCTCCAGAGGCTCCCTGGGGGAGGAGGGTGGTAAGTCTTGACCAAAACTCCTGCAGAAACAAGGAGCAGATCACAGAAGCCTTCAATGAAAATACCTCAGTTGTTCCTGTGGGTTCACAGTGGTCAGCACAGAGGTGGGAAAATGCTTCAAACCCACACTGAGGTCTGAGGGCTCTGCCCGTGGCTGTTGCAGCCGTGAGCCAAAGGACAGCACAGTGCCGGCCATTTTGCATTGGCGCTGGAGAGAGGAGGCTTCGTCCCGGCATTGCTGCAGGAGTGTTGGAAGTGCCGGCCAGATCAAGAAGAGCAGGGCTGGGAGCGTACCTGGGAAGTAATGAGCCCAGAGAGCTACAGTGGGCCAGGAATTTGGCAGTGGCTGGTGCGTCGTGGTGGCACGGTGATGGGTGGCCTTCATCCCTTCAGCTGTGGCCTGGCTCTCTCAGTGTGGCTTGGTGGAGATTGGTTGTGAAATAGCAGGTGCAGATTATCTCTGTGGCTGGTACGGAGGAGTTAGCACTGCAAACAGGATTATTTCTAAGTGAAGTAACTGTAAATGTTTAATTACAGATACAAGCCTGCCTGGGCCACAGCAGGATTTTTTTTTTTTTTTTATAATTTTAATCATTTTGTTTTGTTGCCTCTTGAAACAGTGGCCTGCAGTTTTACGTAATAACCTCACTAATAACCCACTTTCCCAATGTCAATATGAATAACATAGTAACAAGAGTGCCCTTTCTCACTGAGCAGAGTTTTTGCTTGCAGAGAAAGTGGGAAGAAGCTTCCACCCAGCAGTTATTGCATTTTAGCTGATATCTCATTACCTGACATAAACAGATCCATGTGCTTCACTTCATCTTAAACTGTTTATTACCAGATAGAGGCATATCCTGCTGCCAGAGACCAACAGGGGAAAGATAATTACAGCTCTGCTTGAGCTCAGCTGGTAAATGCTGGAAGGGTGATACTGGGTGTGCAAAGACACAGCTGAAGAGGGAGGGAGGGAGGGAGGGGGTCAGATTTTATTCTCTCCATCAGCACTCCTGCAATGCACACTGGCCCTGCAACTAAAAGCAAAACCAAACCTTTTAGTTTAGTCCTATTCTCACCTCCAGATCAGTATGATCTGTTCTTCTCAGCATGAAGCATCTTCAGTGTTTTATTCCAGTACAAAGTTAATTCAAAGCACTACTATTTTGATGTCCTACTATTTTAGATTCAGTTCACACATTTGGATAAGTGTATTTGACCATTTGAAGATCAAGAATGGAGAATCAGAATAAGTTTCTCCATTGCTTTTTACTTCTGAGCCCAGAATTTCTGCCTGTAGATGATGATTTTGTTGCTGATGATTATCCCTTGCTGAAGGCACAGAGGAGAATGACAGGCAGGAAAGATTTCTGCAGATAGGATTCTGTTCAAAAGATTAGAAATAAAAGAGCAAAGTCTAAACTCGATTATTAATTTGGACCAAAAAATGTGGGTAGCATCAAACCACCAGAGCAGTGATGGGTAGGAACCAGGTGGACTCTATTAGAAAGTGAGGAAGGGGATCTTTTTTCTTTCTAACAGCTGCCAAGAAACATGCTTGTTTCAGCTTTTGCATGAAATGATAGATGGGGGCTTTGAAGCCCAAATTGAAGCCTGAATCTCTTTGGTTTTATTCCTCCTCCCTTTGGAGCATGGGTGCTGTGGATGTTCATTATTCACATTGGAAACATTTGCCACAGGAAGCTCCTGGAACAGTTTGGAAAGCCATGAAAGCCCTAACGGCAGCTGAAAACATCAGTCCTGTCCTAGTACTTGCTGAATCAAATTATTAAGTGCCAAGATAAATTAATGTTTGTCTCTGAGTCATTCCCAATTTACAGAGTCCAGGGCTTTTCAAACCAAGAAAATCTTCTCTACTTGAAAAAGAAAACCCATTTTGGTGGCAGCAGCTTCCAAAATTTGGAACTCTGTTTTCTTGCTTCACTCTCCAGTAAATTCCTTTCCATCCCTCCTTGCCCAGTGAAATAACTGGAATACTTGCATTTTTTTAAAATCAGGATTCTCAGTAGTCATAAAGCATAGGCTAACGAGCCTCTTCTGCAAGGGTATTTAGTTAATTAATATTTATACTCTGAAGCAAGGCTCAAGAGCTAATCTATGAAGTGTTATTCAATGAACCTGAACATCTGGCTTGAGAATCCAAGATTTCACTGAAATTTAATTAAGATTCCTGCCATTAGAGCTTCAAACTAAGGGAGATAAATACAACAAAAGCATGAAGCAAGGAGACACAGCTCTGCCTGGCAAGCCTGTGGGCTGAGATAACCAGGAGACACCGCAGTTCCTAGGGCTGTCGCTGAGACATCTGGGGTGCTGCAGGCAGCAGGTCATGTTTATCCTTGGGGGGAAACACTGAGCCAACAGCAGCTGAGGTCTCTGCTCCTACGCCACGCTTGACCGGTGGAGAAGGAGAAAAAGAGAAGGCCCGCCCTTGGCTGCCTTTGGTCCCAGTAGCCCCGAGCACTGCCCCTGCGCTGGCTCAGCCTGGACCCCGCGTGCCCGTGGGGGCTGGCACTGCCTTTCTGGGGGACTGGCGCAGCCCCACACTCCTGTCTGTGGGCTGTTATGTAGGAAATTACCAAGGCAAGTGGCTGGGTACAGGTCAATGCTGATGCCCTTCGTGCTTGTGCCACCACCAGATGTACCCCGCCTGAGCATTGCTCGCCCCTCTTCACTGCATCTCCAGCCAGTGCCTCCTCCCATGACGTGACTTGCCCAGCTGTCTCCAACAGAAAGGATGTGAATATGAAACAGAGTGCTTTCTCACCATCACTCAGCAACTATCAATCGCACGTCCCTTCCAGCATCTACAAGGATCTTAATGAACAGCCTTCACATCACAGATCTCTCTTCTTGGCTCATCTTCCATTTAGCAACAGCCCCTTTCAAAATCCTTACTGCTTGAGCCTTATTCTCTCTGCTTGGTGTCAAAACCAGAGTTTCCTGTGCTTTCACAAGGATTAAGATTAGGCTTAGTTTCTTCAGATGCTCCATACCTTATCCCCATCTCAGTAATATGCCAGGGAGTGAAGACACATGATGGCTGCCCCTTGCAGCTGTGATCAATGAAGTTGGGACATTTTAGCAGATGTAACTTATTTCCCTCATTTAGCAGTGCCTGTAGTGTTATGATTTGCTGCAGTAGTATACTGGTATGCTCAAGGCTTTTTACATTATTTAATAACTTAGCACCTCATTTCATTGGTGGGTCTTGGCCTTGCAGTTGGTCACATCCTGGTTTGTTCCCAGGATGTCTTTTGGAGTGCACTGTTTCCCTCCTCAAAATTAAGCCTGGGTGATATTCATGGGTTGTTAGCTTCAGAGAGTACCTTCTGGATGGATGAAACATTCACCACCATCCCAACAGGCCCCTGGTGCTCCCAGTTCCCTCTTATCCCATCCTTGGACATGCAAACTCAGCCTCGTGCTCTAAAAGCACCCAGTGTAGCACCCTGCACCACAACGCTCACATTTCATCAGGCAACTGAACAGGAAGGAAAAATTTAAAAAAGAAAAAAAGTGTGATAGTTTAGGGCCACAGAGCACCCCAGAGGTCACAGAGGAGCCCCAGTCAAATGCTAAGGTGGGTGGTCAGCCTTGAACAACTTAAGTGTGAGCCAGCCCATCGTGCTGGGGTGCCAGGGACCTTACCCTGCAGCTGATGCCTTCAGTAATGTTGTACCCATGTACTGGTGAAATGTTTCTCACAGGCCAAGGAACTACTTGCTCTTGGGAAGATCGGGTGTACATGTGGATGTGTATATGCATTTGCAGAACTGCATTCTGCAGTTGTGGCTTTCTAGAAGACACTAGTGGGTGGTTCAAAAATATAATAAGGATATTATTATACATATATAATTTGATTCTTTTAGTCTGAAATAAGCCCCTGGTAAATGTATATTTGCTTGGCAGCAAAGATATAAAACTTGGTTTGGCATTTGCATTTAGGAAAACACTGGGAACTCAAGGGAAAAAATATTGTCTGTCTGAGTAGGTTGAACTAATGCTGAGAAATGAGGCTCTGTGAATCTGAACTGAACTCAGTTTTTCAGACCTAGTCTCCTTCCACTATTGGCCAACTGACAGAAATTCAATATTTTTCTTTTAGTGAATGAAAAGCATAGTCAGAAACAGCCATTGGGTCAGGATCATATGCAAAAGCTCCTCTTGTGCTTTTGTTTCCTAATTGCTCTTGGAAGGATTTTTCGGACTGGGCTGACGCAGTTGTGTGTGTGAATTTCCTGGCAAATAAGGAAGGTGACTGTGTCCAGAAGACATTTAAGAGTGTGAATTCACAGCCTTTCCATGTCTAATCAAGGAGCATAAACCATTAGCCACATGTTCTCCATTTCCATCACATTTTTTCACACTTAAAGAAAAACATGCCAAAGAAAAGGTGCTACATTTTTTAATGCCCCCAAATAGGAACCACGGGAGTCCGTTAAATGCTGTGGTCATTTCCAGCATACAAATCAATTTTCCTTGTGGTGGTGAAGTGGTGAATAATGCCTGGTTTGTTTAAAGGAGCATGACTGATTTTGGATGAAGGATCCTGTCACTTCGGCATTTTTAGTTTTATTTATTGCACGCAACCGTATAAAACCTGGTACTGCTCTCAGTGCCAGGCTTACTAGTGGAAAAGCTGAAAGGACCACATAACTCCTGGTGCAGCAAAGAGATTCTCCTTCTACAAGGCATTTGCTGGACTTCTAAAAAATTATTTTGAATAACATGGCAGAGAAGGATTTCATCAGTTGGCATCTACTGGCTTTATTTTTTCTTCCATTTTGCCTGTGTCAAGATGAATACATGGAGGTGAGCAGAAGATCTTATAAACCAGTGGCCAAAGTATTGCAAAGTCACCACCAGACTGGCCATAAAGGTTCCAGAAGCAGGGAAATATTGAAACAGCGGAGTCAACTTATAGAGTGGACTGTTGATAATAGCACTTCTACAGACCAAAAAGTCCTGAGACCAGAGGTAGATGATGTAGAACTGACTACCTCAGATAGAGTCCAGGTACTCTGAATTAATCTTCTAAAGATATCTTTAAAGCTGATGAGATATATATTTTCTTTTTTTTGCTAAGATTATTAGTGATATATTTATGAAATCACTTTTATTAAAGCTATGTGTTGGTCTGTATCCTGCTGTGTTGCTTTATAGGATCTTTTAATGAGCTGGTAGAACCAGCAGTGGTTGAGGACACTGGTTTCAACATAGACAGCAGCCCTTTGTTTTGCTGAAGCTGTGATCCTGTGCAATCGTATATTCTGATAGTCTCTTAATGATTTCAAGGTATTAATTATTTAATATACTAATGCTTTAGATTCTGTTAAGTCATTTGGATGTGAAGGAAAATTACAGAATTTCTACAGGTATTTGGAAAGATTCAAATAGCAGAGAATAAATTTACTTGAAAAATTTGGTATATAAATTGTATTTTTTGAGCTTGAGATATAATGAAATTCTGAGTGTTCAAAACTTTCATTCTAAGGACTAGCTTGAAAAAAACAGATACTAATGTAATGAGTAGATTTAATAATATATATCAACTTGACATTTCAGAGGAAAAAAGACTCAGAATGAAACTCTAAATCATCTGTAGTATCTGCGTTTTAAACTGGGAATCTTTTTCTGCCTTTTACATGACATTTTAGATATTTTAGTCATTAGTTCAGAGCAAAGGGAAAATGGCATAATTTGGTTATACATAAAATATTGCAATCAAAATTTAAAAGGAAAAATCTGAAGGGCAGAAGATGAAGGTTTTTCTAGCATTAGACAAAATAGAATTCCACTCAAATGATGTTTTTGTTGATAGATGTTTTTTAGAAACAATAAGAACATAAGTGTTTTGTTCCTATTGCTGATACATTTGTTTGAGTCCTGTATAGTTCACCTGTTATCATTTGGTTTTTAAAACTCTTTCAGACCAAACTATGATATTTTGAATTCCAAAAATCGTGGACATGCAGACAAGTGTTGAATAATAACCTACTTCACAATAAGCAGAGAAGAGTTTTGATTTTAATCCTGTGCATCCTAGGCTTGAAGAACTGAAACACATCCAAGTAAAGGAATAGGTTTAATAGATCACTATATTTCCTGTATTTAAATTTTATGGTGCTTTGCATTTCATATTTCTTGAGCAGGAGCCGTATTTTCCTCCAGTGCACTCAGCAAAATAGATATTTAACTGTAGGTATGTTAAATTGCACTTGCAGTGTGTAAATAGTGTAAACCATCAGGTATATAGTCCAATGAGCCAGCTAGTGTGTGCATACCTCTTTACTGCAGACAGAATTGTGCAGCTGCATACTACAGACTGTGTATTATCATTAAAGATTCCCTTCTAACTCTACACAATTTCAGATAATGCAGGATCTAATACAAAACTATGACTCTTTTAGGGATTAAACTCTCCCTCACAGAAAATGTCACTGTGTTTGGGGTGCATGTGTCTCTCATCAGAGAGTTTAACACAACATATTTGGAGTTGCCTGCTGTGGGAAGAGACTCTGACATTAAAACTGAGCCCAGCGAGTCTGACTACAGCTGATGGCAGTCATTTACTTGCCAGATCCTCTCCAAGAAACAATATTTGCTGGGGAAATGATGCAATTTTTGGCTTACTGAAATGAAATGGAGCACTAGCAGATGCATGACAGGGATAATCGATCACAGAGTGTCTGACGCAATAGGTATTTTCCATCTCCAGACTCCAGGGATTTCCAGGCAGAGGAGGAACAAAGGTGGCCAGATATGTTTTAATTCATGTCAAAGCTCTCTCTTCTCCTTGAGCTATCTGAAAGCTATTTCAACTCTAAGTCCCTACTTTCTTGTTTATCTTAGCTCTAGCAGGAGAATTTCACCTTCTTGCTGAAGTGTTTTAGCAGTTCCATTCCCTGTTGTGGAACAGAGACAATAGCATTTGCCTTTGCTGCATTTGGTACAAGGCCAGTTTCCACACTGCTGGTAACTTAGGTAAAATATAATGTGCATTTCTCAAGCACAAGAACTCTTAGTCAGTGGGGAGAGCCATGCTAGACATATTTTTCCTTTTCAGGTTGCTCTTTGAAAAACTTCAGGTACCCCTCAACCTACTGGTGTTTTACCCTGAATTTTGGCAATTCTAGTTTGTTCAGTTCTTTTCTAGAGAAGGGGCATGGAGGGCCCACAGGGACATGCTATTTTGCGTTCAGAACAGGAGCCAAGAATGGTAGATGTACATTACTTGTCTTCTGCATTGTCTTAGACAATATAACAGAAACCCACAAAATTAATCAGGAAGTGAAAAAGGGCTGGGTCTCCAATTGTGATTCATTCACAGCCTTAAGTTAATGAAATTTTATAGGCTATCTGTTGCCTAGAACTGCCTCCTAAGTACTAAATCATAGGAAATTCAGAAAATAGTCGCAGGAATAGTTCCAGTTTTCTATCTGTATTAGGATATCAATATGGCAGATGCATTTCACAAGCTCCTAAATTAATTCATGTTCTGAGAGCAATGCCAAAGATTCATTATGTGATAAAAATTATGTACAAATGCCTGCATAGGACATCTTTGGCAAGTAGGTTGTAATTAATCTCTTTGTCCCATTTCAGTGTAATTTTACTTAGGAACAGGTTTTTCCTTTAAATGTACTTTTCATGAAGTTCTCTGGTTTTAGAGATTAAAAGAGTATCCTGATTATTCATTGGTCTTGGCAGCTGACTGTGAACGTTTTTTTCCTTCTAGTCAAAGGATCAGTAAAGATAATAAGTCAATACTACTTGATGACTTGCATAAGCAGTTATTTTGAAATCAGTGGAACTGTTCTTGTACAACCAGGCTGGCAGGAATTGCCTCATTTCACATGTAATATCCTGCTGAGCTTTTTGAGACATATTGCCATATAGGATTTGGTTACAACCAGCACTAGTACCTATTTTATGATAACGTAGCTGGTTAGCTAATAATGTCACTCAGGATTTCAGTGTATTGGGTAAAAAAGACAAATCATACCCGCACAGAGAGAGTCTCACACGCAGTTCAGTTTGCTGGATTCATGCCTTCCCTTAGCTACAACTCACAGATCTAATTCTGTGGGTGTTTCTAGGCTGATACGACTTATTTGCTCTTGGCATGTGTGTATATAGTTTGCCTCCTCATTTAACATGAATATGAAGCACTAAAAAAGAGCTGGAAATTTTAATCCCAGTGCAAAATTCAACATTAGCATTTCAGGGGGTGCAAAATGCTTGTGCAATTCCAGTCGTCTTGTACTTGGCTCCCTTTCAAGTACTGAATATGAGCTGAAAACAGGGCTACTTCTTCTCTCATATTAGGAAAGCTTTAAACAATGTGTCTGGTGATTGTCAGTTACGTTCTCCCTAGCAACTTGGAGAGAGAAAACAGCAAGATACAAACAGGTTCTCCAGGAACAGACAGTCCAACAGGCAGAACTCATTTTTCTCATAAAGTATAGATCTTATCCAGAATTAAGGTAAAAAGAATAGTATTGACCAAAACCCATAAATACGAAGCCCTTCTGCCCACTGGCAGCTCTTAACATAACTCTTTGAATATGAAGCATATTTGTTGAGCTGTCAGGTCAGCCTTTATTCCCATGGTGGCTCCACCGTTGGTGGTTCCAGCTGGAGAGGGCATGTGTCTGTCCATTGGAGTAGATGCAGTATTTTGGTGGCATGAAAAGAGTTTTCCGTATCCATAAACATGAACTCCCAAGCCTCTTGAAATTAATGAATTCTGGGGGTGTGCTTGGCACTGTTCAAAACACAGGCAGAAAGCTTTAGGGTTTCAGATCAAGCCAGTTGATGACCTTGAGGGCAGGAATACAGCACATCTATGTGTTCATTTGGCAGCTCCCATCCCACCAGCGACTCGTTTGCTGCCATTGAACCAATAGGTCTGCATTATCCAAGTAATTTCAGGATGATAAAGATGAGTGGAAAGAAAAGGATGGAAGACAAACAGTAGAATGATTAGAGAAAAGTAGTTGTCAGATTGGTGTAACTATCCCCCTCCAGAATTTAAGAACTGCAGATTTGCATCTCAGGATAATAGC